CCTCAAAACAGGACCACAGCCCTGTCCGGCCTGGCCAAACAGGAAGATTTCTCTACGTAGTAGATAGAATAGATTATATTTCAAAAATGTTAAAGGTACCTCAATTTGTACCCCAATTTGTACCTCACTTTATTTGTGTGGCTCACAAAAACAGCTCATTAAAGTGGTGCAATTCATTTATTGAAGTGAGCTTTTGTGAGCTAAAATAGTACAAAATGGGGTAGGGTACGTATAGCAAGGTTGATTATATTTTGATCCAACTACCAGTGATTAGCACCCCGCCACCCCGTAATATAGACTGAGCCGAGCACGGGATCCCGCTAAACAGTGGCGGAACTAGGGGGGGGCGAGCCGGTGCTGCCGCCCCCCGTTCGCCGGAGGTGGTGGTGTATATATATGTATTTATGTATGTACAGCCCCGTCTCAAAATAATGAATAAATATTTGCCGACCTGAATTGTAAACATAAGTCTGAGTAGCAGAGACGGTAGAAGTTCGCTCCAGCTTCCTTGCACACCCGAGTTCGAGTCTCACTGGCGTCTCCCTCTTTTTAATTGTAAACGTCCTTAACATTCTCTCATTTTTGCTTTTGTGACTTTCTCTCCATTTTGCTTTTGTGACTATTTCCGTTTTAATTTTCTTCCTATCACACTACATTTTTTTTACTTTTATTTTACGTTTTTATTTTTCCAATTCATAATATTTATCTTTTTTTACTTTTTCGAATATTGACATGTTATTTACATTTTCCGTTTAGTACAACGACAATAAAGTTTTAACTTAACATAACTATTTATTATTCTTCCCTTTAGTACAAATATGCCAAAACTTCTTGTTAAATTAATTTATATGTGTATAATTAAATTTATGTAATACATTTGCATAAATAAAACACTTAATATCCTTTTAAATAACAAATAACCTAGAAGCAACGTTAAATTGAAAAGAGAAAAACAAAATTATTATTTTTTTGATAAGTAACTTACATATACTCCGTATATGAGTTTTAATTTATCTTCCGCTATTTATTTAGCTATATTTCTCTTTAAACCTTGATATTTAAAACGAGTGTATTAAATCGAAATTTAAACAAAACTTTAAAATAAAATGACAAGCGTTTTTAATCGAAATAAACTCGCCTGTTAAGAAAAAGTCTATTATTTTGTTTGGGCACTGAAAAACAAATATAGATGGAAATATATGTGATTGTATATGTATATGTATGTGTGCGCTTGTGTGTATTATATAGGTCCGAATAAAGAGTCACTTCATGAAAATGAAAATATTTCTTCTGCATTCAATTTGAGATCAAATTAGTCTATATGAATACATAAAAAAGAATACAGTAGAGATTATACATCTTTCAAAGTCGATAATTTGAATTTTTTTTCGCCCCCCTCAAATTTTGTTCTGGTTCCCCCACTGCCGCTAAATGTTGTGTCTCCGCCACCGGCGACGCATCGCCTCCTCCAGTCTTTCATTCAACGCCAGGTTCGTCGGACAATGCTCTCAAAGCGAACTCATTAGCTTCTTTAGCAACCTTCTGCTGCAATGCACTGTATGTGCCGAGCACATTAAACAAGTCCACTCCGCAATCATAGTTACGGGCTCTTCCAGCTCAGCCTTCTTGGCCTCTAGGCTCATTTCCGCTTATTCAGATTTTGGTCTTATATACAAAGCCCGAGAAATATATGAAGCCTCCCCGGTTGAGTGCTTTTCTAACATGCTCTTTTGTAACTCGATATTGAGGGCGAACCATACTAGTGGGGATTATATAGAAGCTGTAAATATATATACTAAAATGCGTGGTTTTGGAGTTTGTCCTGACTCCTTTGGGTTTCCATTGGTTGTAAGGGCTTGTGCATTATCCGATGATCATAGTCTCTGCAAGGTCGTCCATTGCCACACAATACAAATGGGTTTTCAGAATCACCTTCATACTGCAAATGAACTGCTAAACATGTATGGAAAGATTGGGAGAATGGATTACGCACAAGCATTGTTTGATAGAATGCCAGAAAGAACCCACCTTTCATGGAATATTATCATTTCAGGGTTTTCTCGTAATTTAGACTGTGATGGTGCACTTCAGATGTTTTTGCGGATGCAATCTGATGGTTGGAAGCCGAATCCTGTAACTTGGACTTCAATGCTGTCAGGTTTTGCTAAGTGCGGGCACCATGAAGATGCATGTAGGCTGTATACTCAGATGAGAATGGGAGGAGTTAAGATCACAGCTGAGGCACTTTGCGTTGTTATATCAGGCTGCGCTACCATGAATGCAATTGACAAGGGCAAGCTGATACAAGAACATGCCATAAAAGGTGGTTTTGAGAACCATACGATCGTAATAAATTCTCTAATCAGTTTTTATGGGAAACATGGTGATGTCAATGCAGCTGAGCTTCTCTTTTCAGGACTACTTTCTAAGAGTATAGTTAGCTGGAATTCTTTAATATCTTCCTATGCAGAATCTGGTTTATGTGATGAGGCATTTTCCGCACTTTCTCAATTGGAGAAGCTAGGGGAGCATTCAATGGTCAGACCTAATGTAGTAAGTTGGAGTGTAGTTATTGGGGCATTTTCGGCAAAGGAGAGGCACGAGGAGGCCTTGGAGCTCTTTAGGAGAATGCAATTTGCCGGGGTGCTGGCCAATTCCATTACCATTTCAAGTGTTTTGTCAGTTTGTGCTGACACATCTGCGCTGTGTCTGGGTAGAGAAATCCATGGCTTTATTTTTAAGGTTCTAAAAGATGTAAATGTAATGGTAGGAAATGGACTGATTAACATGTATATGAAATGTGGTAGTTTAAAGGATGGGAACATAGTGTTTGAGAGAATGGAACAGACAGATTTATGCTCTTGGAACATGTTGGTATCTGGATATGGAATGCACGGTCACTGTGATCAAGCTCTGGAAACCTTTGATAAGATGATTAAAGCTGGATTTGTACCGGACAAGGTTTCTATGGTAGCTGTTCTTTCTGCATGTGGTCATGCAGGGCTTGTTAGTGAGGGTCGCAAAATTTTCAATGAAATGCGAAAAAAATTCGGGATTGAACCAGAGGTGGAGCATTATGCTTGTGTGGTGGATCTTTTGGGCCGTGCTGGATTGCTTCAGGAGGCTCATGACTTGGTGCAAAACATGCCATTGGAACCCAATGCTTGTGTTTGGGGTGCACTATTGAACTCTGGTAGAATGCATAAAAACGTGCATGTTGCAGAAAAGGCCGCTGCTCAACTTCTGGATCATGATTCTGTGATGACAGGGAGCTTAATGTTGCTTTGCAACTTATATGCTGGCTGCAGTAGATGGGGCGACTCGGCAAATGTCAGACTTTCAGTAAAAACAAGGGGCTTAATGAAATTTCCTGGACAAAGCTGGGTTGAGGTGAAGAAGAAAGTGTATATGTTCTCAGCAGGAAAATCGATGCAAACGGGGATGGAGGAAATATATTCAATGCTTAATGTCTTAAGTTATCAAATGGATACAGAAGATTATGCGCTACAATGCAGTTAGCTTCACCAGGCGTGGAGGAACACTTGTCAATATTTTCGGAACTTTGATCAGGTGAGGAGGAAACTCAGAGGAGTTCTTTATCTCTCATCTCTAACTCTATCTCAGTCTTGCACACAATATGTTTATGCATATTGCATACTAGCAGAAAACACAAGCAAGATACTGCATCATTAAGCTATCAAATTATATTAAGCCAAATTTTTAGATATATAGAGGTTGATAATGATCAGTCATGTTCCATATTTACATGTTGGTTTTGCAATATCAATTATGTAATGGGTATGGCAATAACAGATATTTCAACTCATCAACAAATATCTCAACTCATCACTGCTTCATGATATTTTCTATGCATGTGCAAATAATCTCCGATGATGGCAGTTTTGGAATTTTCATATCATTATTCCATCTTAAGAGGGTTGCAACAAGAAGGACATCCGGTGTAAAACATTGACATTCAGTTATTTTTTGTATGAATTTATAGTATTTACCACTACCTCCGTCCCAAAAAGCTTCACCATTTCAATTCTAAAGCTTTGATCAACTGTATATTTTTATTGGAAATTATTTATAATATAAAAATGATATGAAAATGTTCTTTGTTAAAAGCACTTTCATAAAAATATAAAATTTATAACATCCATAATATTATACTAATCACAATCATGTCCCAAATTTTATGAAATGACAACGTTTTTTGGGACGGAGGTAGTACAAAGTAATTTTATACCGGTATTTATCACTATAATCTAATGGCATCGACCAGCTAGTTGGATTAAGGTGCTCGTAATGACAATACAGATAAATGGGTTTGAAAAATAAGGAAATAAAAATAAGTGATATCAGTATGAGTAACTATGAATGCGTCATTGGCACATTGCTAAATAAAACTCAAAATGTATTTTTCTTTTGACACACTTTTTCCCTTTTTTCATATTCCTATCACACCCCTTTTTATCTCATCTCATTTTCGTCTTCCCCTTTGGTGCTACTCTTTTTCCATCCTTCATCTGTTCTCTTTCTCATCTTCAACGTCAAGAGTTGATGTGAAATGCCAATTCTAGTGCATGCTTACTTGCCGTTGCTTCTCAAGTCTTCTACTTTTCACCTATTTCTCCGGATGTGCTTGAATTGCTGAAGGCTGAAGCCATACCCAACACCTGAACTCACTAGAACATTTAAAGGTAAGATTTTCCTTCATCAGGTTTCTCCATTTCATTAAGTGTCCATCTGGGTATATTATGGTTCTAAAATATAGTCATTTAGGGGGCCTTGTACTTGTTTAATGACAAATCATCTGATAGGAATCTAGACAATAATACTAATAGAATATTAGAATAGTATTAAGTAATGTATAAGTGAGGATTATGGGCCATTTAGTATATCTGGAGTATTGGGCCTATTATGGTAGCTTAACAAGTGGGCTAGTACTATAAATAAAAAGGGATGGAAGGCAATTGGGGCAGGCAAGTATTCTGTTGGGAATAGGCTGGGAGACTGGGCATCTCGAATTGTCCAAGGCTACTGTATTCCTCTTTGTTCTGTTCATCATGAATAATAAGAATTTCCGATCCTTTCTTCTTTATTTCCTATTGATTTTATACTGTTTTGAGCTAGCAATTACCACTGATCTATCATTGGTATTAGAGCATCACTGCTCCTGGAGATCGGAATTGGAGTGCGACTTCAGATAAACTCTCATTCTGTGGTGGATGGTTAAAACCAGAGCCAACATGGAGATGCGCATGGATGCGATGGATCAGAAACTATAGGAGGTACAATCGGCGATGGAGAACTTGTCGACGAACATGGCGGCTTCTATTGCCGCGTTGAGTGAGCAGCTCCGGTCCAGAGAACGATCGCGATCGCAACCTCGTCACCTCACACCTACGACATCGGGAGGTAATCCGCATCACTTGTATCACAGAAGACCTGAGGATAACCATCAATTTCCAGTACATACGGGTAGAAAACTTGATTTACCTGTATTTAATGGGGATGGGGCGTATAACTGGCTTGTGCGAATGGAGAGGTATTTCTGCCTAAATCAGATTAGTGAAGAAGACCAGGTGGAAGCTGCAGTTGTCGCAATGGAGGACTGAGCTCTAAACTGGTTCATTTGGTGCGAGCACCAAACTGAATTGGACGAGTTGGAAGAATTTGAAGAATGCTATCATACACAGATTTCAGCCAGACCTAATTCAGAATCCATATGGGCCTATGCTAAGCTTGAAACAGACTGGAAGTGTGCAGGAGTTCAGAGATGAATTTGAAATGGTGATAGCTCCACAAATTAATGTTGATATGGAGATTTTGAGAGGAATCTTCCTGAATGGCTTACAGACTGAAATCAAAGCTGAACTTAAGCTGCATAACTCCAGTTCATTGAATGAGATTATGGACAGAGCTCTACTGATTAAAAGTAGAAATGAGGCTATATATCTGAAGGGTAAAGGTGAAGAGAAAGTTGCTGGGAGAGATAAGGGACCTATTACTTATAAACCGGCAGTTTGGGGAGAAGGATACAAGTCTCAATCTGGTAATTCATGGCCTAGTACAAGTGGGAAGAATGCTGCAGAAAACAAGAGTAACCCGTCTTGGTTTACTCCTGAGGGAAAGAAGGAGACAGAAATAAAGCCCTCAGACATCAGGAGGGTGGGGCCACAACTGTCACAGGAAGAATATCTGGACAGGAGCAGGAAGGGACTTCGTTTTAAGTGTGGAGAAAAATGGAGCAAAGAACATACCTGCAAATTAAAGAATTACAAACTCATACTGGTGGAAGATTCTGATAATGAGGAGGAAGTAGAAGGTGCAGAGTTGGAAATTGCAGCTGAAGGAACTACCATGGAATTTAAGGTTGGGAACATTCTCTTCTGAGTAAGGAAGGGATACCTTCTCTGAGGACTTTCAAGGTCAAAGGGAGTAGAATGGGCTGAAGGGAAGGCAGAGGTGAAAGTACTCATTGATAGTGGGGCCACCCACAATTTTATATCACAAAGGTTGGTGGATCAATTGTGACTAAGCTTACACACCATTACTGGATACATGGTTCAGATTGGTAACGGAGAGGAGATTATCAAAAATGGCAGATGTGAGGATCTAACGTTAGGTTTACAAGATACCAAAATAAATCAGCACTTTTATGTTTTGGATCTGGGAGGTACAGACTTGGTGCTTTGAATGGAGTGGCTGACTACTTTGGGTGATGCGGAAATAAACTTTCAGAAACAAAGTATAAAATGGAAGATTCAGGGGTTAGATCAGCAGATTCAAGGGGACCCATACTTGAACTCCATGGAGATATCACTCAAAACCATGACTCAGATTCTGCAGGACACTGATGTTGGTTATTTTATGTTTGGTGAAGGACAATCTGTGAAGGTAAAGGGTGTTGCTTGTGCTGGAAGTCAGGATAAAGCTCTGGGGTTTGACAACACTGAAATAATTCTGGGGGCTTTGACAAAATCCGGGGTGCAGTATGATCCACAGTATATTGCAATTGAAGAGTCCATGTTCACTCAATTTGATGCCAAGTTGGGGGTGACAGTAAAGGAAAGTGCAGTAAAGCTGGGGAAGCAAACCTTGAAAACTGGTTTTGAAGCTTACCAACTGTGGAAGTTTTACCTTGAAGATAGGAATTCCTGTTCCATATTGAAGATAACACCTGCTGAAATGTTTGTGATATCAAAAGAATTGGTATTGAAGTTCTTAGTCCAGCTATCAGTCAAGTATTGGGAAGAGGGAAGTGCAAGAATGAAGTGCAAGTGGAAGATCATGGCTGACTCCTATCACCCACCTTGAGGGCAAGGTGGTTGTTTAGGGGGGGAGTATTGATAGGAATCTAGACAATAATACTAATAAGAATATTAGAATAGTACTACCTCCGTTTCCCTATGTTTGGGACAAGAGAAGGTGGCACAATTATTAATAAAGGTGGGTTTATGTGGTTGATATTGAATTTATAAAGTAAGAATAAAGTAGGAATGATTTAGAACCACACAAACTTTACCAAATAAGGTATGGGACAATCTTAGTGGGATGGACCGAAATGGTAAAATGGGACAATCATAGCGGGACGGAAGGGGTATTAAATAATGTATAAGTGAGGATTATGGGCCATTTAGTATATCTGGAGTATTGGGCCTATTATGGTAGCTTAATAAGTGGGCTAGTACTATAAATAGAAAGGGATGGAAGGCAAGTATTCTGTTAGGAATAGGCTGGGAGACTGGGCATCTCGAATCGTCCAAGGCTACTGTATTCCTCTTTGTTCTGTTCATCATCGATAATAAGAATTTCCGATCCTCTCTTCTTTATTTCCTATTGATTTTATACTGTTTTGAGCTAGCAATTACCACTGATCTATCATCATCATTCAAGAGGGTATTTTCACTCTGCTGAAAATACATATTTACCAGGACTTGATTTGGGTTGCCAACCCTAAAGTCTTTTGGACTAAGGCAGTAAGGCTTGGATGTTGTTGTATCAGGACATGATTTAGGTTAATGGAGATGATGTACAAGTTCTTTTTTACTCGTTAATGGCTAACAAAGGAAGCTAAGAATAATGCTCAGCCTATAGTAGGTAATTTGGAGGTCTTATTTTTCTACCATATTAAGGGGGTGTATTTAATTGGGACATTTGTAGACATTTTAGGATTTGTGAAATCTGAGTGTATTTAATTGAGACATTCTAAGACATTTTATAAATCCTAAGATGTCTAGGTGTATTCATATTGGACATAAGGACTTGGATTCTTGTTTCAATCTGGACTTACCTAGACTCATAAGCCCAAATACAAGTATAAATCCTAAATCCCAAATCTCACCTCCTTACGTGAGATTTGGAATTCATCAAAGAAAAGCGAAGACGACTGGGAATTCAAGAACTGCATCTCTAGGGTTGAGGTAATTATTTCTTCACTATCTTGTTGATTACTGTTTTTTCTTGTTCTGCAAAAGTTCTACTAAAGTATACCTGCGGTTGGCTTTTTCGTAGTGGTAAATCTTCTAGCGGTAGGGTAGATGTTGGTGGAAGCCATTGCTTTTGGTCCGATAGTGACCATGTGTCGAGCCATTGGCTGGACTGATTAGTGAGAATAAGCTATTGGTTTAGATAGTAAACATACCGTAAACCCAATCTGCAAACGTTCTTTTCAAGTATTCATAAGTGAAAATAAGCAAAGCAAAATACGGAAATAAGCCTCAAGTCCTTATTAGATGACAATTGACAATATGTGCAGTAGTAATGTTTGCTTATTTTCACTTGGAAATAAGCAAAAACGTAGCTTTTGCTGGAACTGATTTTGGAGGCTATAGCTATTAATGTTTGTTCAATTGATTAACAAGATCAATTAAAAGTTGAGATATGTGTTTTTACTCTTATTAATTAGTTGAGCTATGGATAATCAACTACGTAATAGACTAATAGCTATGGAATGCCTTCATAGTTGAGCTAAAGCTGCGTTCAATTGATCAATATATAACTTGTGTTATTTTTATGTTTGTGCATCCAAATACATTGTTTTGTTTAGACCAGTTAACATGGGAGATTCGGGATATCGAAATTGGACCAATGAAGAAAGCAATGAACTACTGCGGCTAATGGTTGATGCTGCCAACCGAAATTGGCGTGATCGCTCCGGCAAAATTAACAAGTCAACGGTGGAGCAGCACATACTAAAGCCTCTTAACGACAACCTTGGAATCGACATGACTTACAAACAATATAAAAGTCGTGAGAAATACTTCAAGAGGTTGTATTGCAAGTACAGTAATCTCATGCAGCACAATTCTGGCTTTGGATGGGATCATAATTCCAAGTTTTTCACTGCATCTGAAGAAGTGTGGGACAACTATTTTAAGGTGAACTCTATTTATTATGACATAATACATACATCATATTTAAACACATATTGTTTTTTTTATACCTAATCAAATAAATTTGTAACTCCTTTTCCTAGTCCCATCCAAAAGACTCAAGCTTAAGAACAGAATCGCATCCTGATTATGAAGATCTGAGAATTGCCGTGGGTAATGGCACTGCTAGAGGTGCACATTCCATTGCAGTAGGTGACAATACAATAGAAGACTTGACAGAAACTCGTAGTACATTGGATGGATTAACATATGATCCCCTCAATGATGCATTTGTCCGTTCAAGTGCACAACATTCTTCTCCACCCTCTCCTGAGATTCAATCTGCACCGCAATCGGCTCAACAGCCCCGCCCAGAGTTCATGGAAAAGCTCACAGAAAATGTGGACAGGTTTGCCCGAGTTATAGAATCAATCGACACAAAAGAGTACAATTGCTGGGATATGATAAAGGAGATCCCGAGTTTGTGTGCTGATGATCGCTTCAGAGCTCTTGATTTGCTTAATACGAAAGCAAAAAAAGCTGAATTCGTTAACATGGCTGCAGAAGATCGTGTAGAATGGATATCATATAAATTGAAATGATATGTATCCAGGATTAGGATTCTTGCCGAGAACCTTGTTCCCATTTTGAGTATTTGGGATTATTTGTATGTTTATTTCTTGAACATTACTATTTCTCAATGTTTTTGGGATAATGTTATTAACTAGTATAGTTTTTTTTTAGCTATTTATGTACTTTGAAGACTGCTAAAGTCTGCAATGGCCAACAAGCTTGACCCTGAAGATGCATTTGGTGGGACTTCTACTCTAAGCAACATTGGAGCAGTTGGTGGGAAGTATGGTTCCCCTCTAACCAATGTCCCCGAAGTTGCCATAATTTTTGCTGAAGATGGAAATGTGTGTATCCAGCATCAGTTTTGTTTTGACAGTAAACATAGGAGTTGATCATAGAGTACTTGATGGACCTACTGTTGCAACGTTCTGTAATGAGTGGAAAAGTTAAATAAAAGTCTACCAATGTCTTAATATGTCTCATGTCCAAATCCACCAAAATCTAGGCAAATCCATAAATGTCTTGAATGTCTAGTAAAATCCCAAAGTTTAAAAATGTCTACAAATGTCTCAATTGAATACACCCCCTAAGGTGCTGAGTGTCTTTGAATGCATTAAATTTTATTGATCTGGTTGAGCTATATTTGAATAGATTAGGAATAGTAGTTGGGATAGTAGTCATGGGATATTTTTTAAACTTGGGATGAGTTTTACGACTTAGAAGGGTTTTAATATTATTACTTTCTATTTTAAAACCCCTATTTTACCCCTATAAAACTGAAAAACCACAAACACCCCCAAAATATCTTGTGTAGACCATTCAAATTTGAAATTTCAGCAGAGTGCGTGATAGTTTCTTGTGTAATCTATCACTAAAGAAAAATAGAGCTAATACTACCTGATTTGTATTGTCCAGAAGCCCCCCCTCATTGGGACTGAAGTATGTGCTCCATTCTATGAGTCTTCCTAATCTGCAAGAAGTTCCTAATCTATTCAAATATAGCTCAACCAGATCAATAAAATTTAATGCATTCTGTCTAAGCACATGATCAGGTATTATTAGCTCTATAGGATGGAGCACATACTTCAGTCCCAATGAGGGGGGGGGGGGGGGGGGGCTTCTGAACAGTACAAATCAAGTATTATTAGCTCTATTTTTCTTTAGTGATAGATTACACAAGAAACTATCACGCGCTCTGTTGAAATTTCAAATTTGAATGGTCTGCACAAGATATTTTGAGGTGTTTGTGGTTTTTCAGTTTTATCAGGGTAAAATAGGGGTTTTAAAATAGAAAGTAACAATATTAAAACCCTTCTAAGTCGTAAAACTCATCCCAAGTTTAAAAAATATCCCATGACTACTATTGCAACTCAGCTTCAACTACGTTCGCCTCCAACTTCTCTTCTTTTTATACTTTCAGCTCTTCTACTCGTCTAAGTCTCAATCAAGAGCTTACAGGAGATAAATTTGATCTTCCTTGGCAGTGGAATAGTTTGAAAGATTTAAAAGACAATAATAGTGTCTTTAGTGATTTAGAACTTCAAGACTAATGGCTTTATATGAGTAATTTATGATATGATGGAGATTGAGACTGAGTAGTACATACATTTTTTGGATGTCATATGTGTATGTAATGTAATTGTATGCATAAATATAATTATATATATTCTACATAAGAGGTGTATGAATAGCGGCCATCCCGTTATTTCGCTATACCGCTTTAGCGTTTTCGTGGTAGGCCGCTACGCTCCGCTATCCGGGTTTGACAATGCTGAATGGTTTCCAAACTAGGACTTGGCTATCTTCCGCTACGCTCCGCTATCCGGGTGTGACAATGTTGAATGGTTTCCAAACTAGGACTTGGCTATCTTACTGCCTTAAGGGACTGGGAAATATCATTACCATGGTATGTGTAAAGCATTTAGGGGTTGTTTAGTTTTGACTTAATGGACTTAGTGAGAAAAGCGACTTAATCGTTTAGCCATTAAGTCATGTCTACTTACGACTTAATTGAAATAATGACTCAATCATTCAGTACAAAAACAGACTTTATCATCAAGCTGAAAAATAATTGTCCTTCCCATTAAGACGTCTATTAAGACGCCTTTGGTATCAAGTTTTTAAAATCAATTGTTGAATAGATTTATGTTAATAAATGAAATTTCTCATTGACATTATAACTCAAGAATAGTACTAAATTGATTATTTTACTCAATTCAGATTGTTTGTTCTGCACACAAAATGAGCAGCCTCATATACAAATACCACTTAATCCAGACAAACATTTTAACTCAGACAAGACTTAATAGGAAAAAAAGTAAACCCCTTATTGTCTTAGTGCTAAGACATGTGGTTCATTTTCTGCTATCATTAACCAGCAACCTTTGTTTGTTTTGTACTAGATTCTTTCCTAATCACGTTAGGGAAGGGCTATAATAATTTACACTTCTTACACTTTAAATGATTCCGTTGCAGGAGGCTGGATTATTGCTATGGAGTTGCATCCTGGATTCTCACTTTATCGTGGATTATATGAGTTTTCACAATACTCTTTCACTGGTAGTTATATGGGGACCACCGTAATGAAATGGAAGAATTAGAATGATGGCAAAAACGGGATGAGAGAGGTCATAATTGTCATGTTTGTGGAATGGTTATTGGTTCTCCTCTTTGCATATTACACAGATCAAATAACATCATCAGGGAAAACTCCCCCCTTTTTCTTCAATCTTTCCAAAAGAAGCACTCGCCATTGTACCAAAGATCAAACTTACAGAGACAGGGGTCTAATGATTCCATTGAAGTGGAGAAACATGATGTCGTCCCGGAGGTAATATGCCTGATTTTATCTAATACATCATGCTGCGTGAAATGTATTTGTTGAAGTAGTAAATTCCATATTCTCCATATGATGGTATCTTATTTTAAATCATGTAGGCATTGATGATGTAAATGGCATTTAATACTGCAGTAGTTCCAAATTTCTCTCTGGTCGTATAATTCTTACTGCAATAATTCCATTGCAATTCTCCTCATTCCAAAATAATTAATCCAACACGACAGTGCTCCCCCTAGAGCTAAGGTTTTGTCTCTTGCATTCTCTTTCTCCATATACAAATATTCTCTCTCTCTCTCTGAACTTCTTTCCCTGTCTAACCCAGATGCAGAAATTTAAGTATCTTCAAAAACTGTGAGCTTGCACATGACATCCATTGGCACTCTAGTGACTAACTATATTTAATTCACATAATTCATAATTTTGCACAGTATTTTCTGTTTTCTTTTTATATTTCACCATCACATAAATAGAGTCTTGTTTGATTTTTCTTTTTCTAAAAATAATATTTCCTCCGTCCCATTTTGTAAGATTCACTTTCCTTTTTGAGTTGTCCAAAAAATATGAACACTTACTTAAATTGAAATCCACTAACTTTTTACTTTCTCATTATCCTTTTATCTATCATTTCATCTTTTACTTTTTCTGGTCCCATCCTACTTTTTCTTACTTTTATTTTCTTAAAACTCGTGCCAAAGACACATGCAATTTACATTATGGGATGGAGGTAGTACTAAATGTACCAATCGATCTGATATTTTATAAAACTTCTTAACAAAAATTTCTCATTCGGCAAATACTGTCATCACACCCCTGGCTTTGAGGCAATCTGAAAAAGCCTTTTCTCTCTTAGATTAACCCGTGATTTCATCATTGGAGTTCCAGATAGTAAACAAATTTGGAAACATCCTTGATAATCTCAAGATGGCTGTAGATAGGGTAAGGAGTTGGTGCATGTTACAAAATAAACTGCTGAGGTTAGAGCTGAATTGCACTAGCTTATGAACAATTGAATCTTCAGTTTGCTTGTGAAGAAACTTTGGAAACAAAATAGTGGTATTAATGGATGCTTGATGCCTTGAAGGAAATATAAACACACTTCTGTCCATGGCTTAGCAAGCAAAAGTCCAAAATTTGATGGTGTCACTGATGAGCCAGGAGAATCTTATTCTGATCCTGATTATATTTCTGATTCTGCAATTAGATATCTCTATTCACGAAAGTTAGTGAAGTGTGTGCAACCAGGCTCATGGAGGGCATACCTTTTGAAGGAGATCAGAATTTGGAATTATCTCTCTTGTGTATTATGATGAATTTGGGTATATTTATACACAAGGATCCCTTTGAACTGATCCTGATTTCTAGGAACTACTCCTAGTATTAAGGAAAGAAATATACAGCTATACATATATATCAAATAAGATCTCAAGATACTCTAGATCCACAATAATAGGAAATAAGATCTCAAGATACTCTAGATCAACAATAATAGGAAACTATTATTCTTGCCCTATATACCCAGCTGGTTTGAATTTCTACACCTTTCCTAATCAGTATGAAGATATTATTAATCCTAACAAAACTTATAGTATGAAAGAAGTTAAACTGATTTAGTTTTGGAGCAGCTTTTTACCAAAAATAGTGGTACATCATAAAAAAACGAACTTGTGCAGGCAATAACTGATTTTTTTTGGAAGAGATATTCGTTAGAGCATCACTGCCATCTGGTCTTGATTTGTAATGTTGGCCAACAAGCTAATGGGAAAGACTTAAGACCAAATAGCCTTTGTAATGTCATGAATAAAGACCTGTCTAAGGTGTCAAATGCCAGCTTAGTCAAGCTTCTCCCAAAAATCATATCATGATAATCAATATGGAATCGTCAAAGGTAAGAATATTTCTGATAATGTCTTACTCGCCCGGGAGTTGGGGGAACAGGTCAATGGAAAAACCAGGAGTAATAATCTGGTATATTAGTACTGCATGCTTTAAGCTTCTCATTTCTAATAAGGAGATTCAAACATCTTCCAAGTTCCAAAGCCTTGTGGAACAATTTCGTTCCTTCGAAGATCTCGATTTTCAACAGTTAAGCTCTGTGACTCCTGAATTCCGGTGGATTCTGTCACAATGTCCAAATTTAGTGCTCTCTTAGCCTTAATGGCGGTGTTGTAGACAATCCAGTGTTATAACCAGGGCTATCTGGAGCTTCAATGGGGCTAAGTATGGAATTAGGACCAGAAAATGGAAAAAGTGGTTAATTCTTCATGAGTTGGTGGGTTGAATGCAAGGGGATAAGGCGATAAGCCCTTTAATATTCAGCATTCCTCTAATTGATTTTTGTTTATTTGGTTCTTTCGAAACAAAACTCCGTCATTAGATCATTTTTTGGTCATACCTGTCCCAATTCAGGATAAAGGAGGAAGACGTTGTGGTAGGAGCGTGACAGCCAACAATATGACATGTGTCAAAATATGAATTGCTAAACTCCAATTTCATATGTTGATTCATTTAGCTGACCCCAAACTCTTTTGGGACTAAGGCTTGGATGTTGTTGTTGTTGGATCTTCCAAAACAAGGTCTCATAAAAGCTTTTGATGGTGATGTTAAGCTTCTTGTGCTGTCAAATACTCATTTTTTTTGGAAGAGCTGTCAATTGCTCATGGAAAAGTAAGATGAAAAATTGTGTTGTCAATTTCATATGTTGATTCATTTAGAAGAATGGAGGGCTGTTGTTGGTGGGATCATAAGAGAGTAAAGAGACCCTTTACGAGAGTTAAGAAATAGAACGGAGCTCATACTTAATTATACTTGTCGTGACATGCTAGTCAGCTCACGGACTCATGGACCATAATTTTTTTTTTTAGGGGAAAGTGAGCGAATTTATTAGCAAAAGTAGGAAAACAAGTAGGAGGACCAAACCAAGCCTACTAGGAAAGTTACATGGTTACAGAAGGGAAGCCAATGCAATCAAATTTGAGAATGTTTGTAAATTGATTAGTGTTTGGGTCATGACCCTCACTAATAAACTTTGCAGCCTTGTTGAGAGCGTGATTAATGTAGCGACATTGTGTGAAGCTATCTTTCATAAGCCGTCGAATTCTCATTACAGTGAAGATGGAACCTCTTAAATCAGCACATTGCATGTTTAGAGCATTAGCAATCTTGCAATTATCTATCTCAAGAGTATTAATTCGAATGTTCAGATTCCTGCAATGATTTAATGCGAAGAGAATAGCATCAAAATAAGCCAAATGATAAGAGGAGTTAAAAAGACTATTAAAAGCATGCGTAATCATCTCCCCATTGTGATTACGAACAAGAAAACCAGTTTGGTGATGTAAGAAGGACGAAGTAAGGGCTAGGTTCAACGTAAGGTCATTGGTATTAGGCGGAATCCATGTCATCAATCGAGGCTTAGGGATTGGGTTTTTGGAGATCTTAGACCTAGGAGTGTAGTCCATGAGGTCTCTACGGATGTTGGAAATGGCCTCAGACTCATTAATAATAATATTCTCAATCAACTTGGCATTCCTCACCTTCCAAATATTCCAAAGAATGATACAATAAAGCAGGAATTTTTTGTGCTTTGTCCAATTTAGGATATTGCTTGTAATTGTACCAATAAGCTTGTCTCTTTTAATTTGGAAGTGCTCCCAAATAGGCTTATGATAACTGCATTGCAGAAAACAGTGATCAATGTTGTCATCATGATCACAGTGGGGGCATTTAAAAGGACCGGCATAGCTGAATTTGACAAGAGTTTCAGAGCAAATGATGAGATTGTTAGAAATCCTCCAAAGGAAAAAAGAGAGTTTTTTTTGGAATCGGTTTATGCCAAAGTTGACCAATTTCCGTGGTTTTGGGCCTTTTCTTTCTAATGGAACTGGAACTTTCCATTGTCGGACTTGGTCCAACGAATCTCATCCTCCCCATCATCAAAGATGGGAGTAATCTGGGTCAAGGCAGTTTGGACATCCCATGGCAGCATGTAAATGTGGGCCGAGAGGTTATTATATGCCTCACGAATGGAAAGCAGAGGGTCACATTGAGTCTCAGGTATCAGGTTTTTGAGCAGTCCAAGGGGATTCCAATTGGAATCCCAGAACGACCTGTTACCAGCATGCACAATCACACAAGTGTTGGCACTATAAATAACTTTAACAGAGCACATCGAATTCCAGAAAAATGAAAGACTTGGACTACGAAAGGCTTTGAAAATTTTGGTCCAAATGTTGTTCCCGTTGTCACTTTTCCACCATAGCTTTACAAAGAAGCATTTTTGAACATCCCTTAACCTACGAAATCCAAGGCCATTTTCATTAGTAGGATAGGCACAATTATCCCATGACCTCCAGATATGTTTGTGGTGCTCTGAAGTTCTGTCCCAGAGGAAATTAATGCATTTTTTTCAATCTCGGTTAAAACACTCTTAGGGACATTTGCCAAGGCCATGGGATAAAGGGGAATAGTAGAAAGAACATGTTTTATCAGAATTAATCTCCCAGTCACGGACTCATGGACCATTAATAATAAGTTACTTATGTATAAATTACAGTATGTATATATAAATATAGAATTATAATAGTAAAAATTTATCTTTGTAAAATTGCTCTTGAGTTTGAATATCATATCCAAGCTCAATCAGGGCCGGTCCTATCGATTTTCGGGCCTATGGGCGAGATATTATTTGGGTCTATGTTCAAGACAAAAACTAATCTCTAAAAATCGATCAACGAAACATGGCCCACCAAAAGTTATTCTCTTCACTTAAATCACAATTATCTGGCTCAATTTCACTATTTGCGGCTTTTGCACCTATATCACTATTTCCAAGCATGTTATGGTTTTCATTCACAAAAGAATTTAGCGACGATTCAACTTGAGAAGAATTTTCGGGATTCAATTTCTTAACAAAAACAAAATTTTCCATTGCCAAGGCTGCATTTTCTAATCTTTGTCTCTCTTTCTCTTTTTCTCAACCATATTCACCCATTTTATCAAACACCTTCACAAATAGTAAAACGAAATAAAGGAATTCAATTCAAAATTGCACAATACCAAATAAATATGAATTTACCAAGACAACAAAAATGCATCATACAAAAATCCATAATTCATAAATCAAAAGAACATTTAGTGGATTTATTATTCATAGCTAATAGATTGGGAATAATTTACTGGCCGTTGTCGGGTTGTTTGAAGCCTTGACAGAAGAAGGTGTTCTAGTCGCTGGCCGCTATTTGGGCTCCTCACCGCTGACCGCTTTGGCTAATGGCGATTTGCAGGCTTGCGGCGCTCTCTAATGGAGAATTGAGGGGGTGGTTGATCAAATGAGACACCCTGTGTTGAGAATTGAGGGGGTGGTTGATCAAATGAGACACCATGTGTTGAGAATTGAGGGAGCGATGGTGAGTCCTCACCCCCACCTTCATGTTCATCTGCATCATCCTCTTCGTCACTTCCACCTTCATCTTCATCTTCATAATGGAATATGCCGCGGTGGAGCATCTCTTCATCACCTACGTCCAGGGCCATCTGCCGTAGTCGTTTTTGACAGTCCTCATAACTCGCGCGATCGGCTAAGAGCTGATACACCTCGTGAACGCCTTGCTTCTACATAAAATTTTGTAACATGTAAACAATATGACACGATATATGTTAATGAATATGGTATGTATTCAAAAACTTACCACAATACCCCAATCGTGTGCTGTCGGGGTGTAGCCTGTCGTGGGCACATTGTGAGAAGGGTTCTGGACACGTGTCATACCATACTTCTTGTACCATTTTCGGTACCTATTAGTTGCTTCGAGGAACATATGTTGAGCGTAATCAAGAAAGTATATGTGATGTTGTATGTTCGCCCACATCGCCAAGGCACCAGCTACTATGTTGGAACGATTGCCGTGATTATCATTACCTGTCAAAGGAGCATTCGGAATATCTTGCCTTATATGGAACTGCCGAAGAAATCGATCGGGGTAATGCATTTCGGCCATATTGCAAAATATGAGCATGACCCTAGCCGACCAAAGCGGAGCTTCATTAAGGACGAGAGGTGGGAGTGTCTCGGACGCGTAGGGAATGAAATCAAACTGTAAAAAGTTTAATTTACAATTTCAGAACTATAAAACAATGTGTATTGAAAATTGAATAGTACGGTTGAAGTAAAAATTTCAAGTACTACCTGATTCTCACTCATGCGGTCTAGGTCATCCCGGTACAAGCGTATGCAATGTCTTGGGGATCCCTTATATGACTTGGGGACGATCCACCTACATTTGTTGATTAGCGATATGAAGTTAAAAAATGTAACGTCATATAAAGCATTCTCAATTATTAAGATGTAATTGGCAACATACCTGCACCCATATGGAAGATGGTCATGTTGAATGACCTGAAGTACTGAGGGACGGAACATCGAAATCCTCGACCAAGCCCAAATCTGTAACAAGTGCATACAGCCGCCAACTTGTTTGGTTTCCCACTTGGCGCCGTTGCACAAGTTATGGTAGAGGTACCCAAGAACCGCCGATCCCCAACTCCATCGACGGGCTAAAGCCAAGTCACCCTGCAAGACTTCCAAAAAGTACAATCGTATTCTTGTCCCACTCGTGTCAGGGAACAAAAACCCTCCAAGCAATTGCCATATTAGGGTCCTGGTGTGTTCGGTGACCTCTTCGTCTGTACTATCAGGTACAATCGGGTGACGGGTAACAGCACTCAAGGTGATATCACTCGTGCGCATATCAATCTCTAAAGGAGTGAAACCACATGACTGCGTGCACAGGTTGATCCACTCAGCCTTACCCTTAATGGTAGGACCACTAAGGGGCATACCTCGAATGGGCAAACCAAGGATCATCGCCACATCTTGTAGGCTAATGCCAACCTCACCGAATGGAAGATGGAAAGTATGTGTCTCCGGCCTCCATCTCTCCACCAAAGCGCATATTAAACTATGATCCACCTTCATACGGGCAATGTGCTCTACCCCCAAGAACCCAGCATAAGCTAACATATTTTTTACTCTTTCATCTCTCTCCTCATCTGCGAATGCAGCTGAAGGGCAATTCACACATTTTAAGCACAAGTCTTTGGAATCTGGTTCATACCACACACGGTCAGCACGATGGGCACGCAGTGGCAACGTGAGTAGGGAACAGTTAACAGGCCCTGGGCGCGAAGTGTTTTGGTCCATTTGAAATTCCTGAAATAAGTAGTTATAAATTACTAATTTCGAAATTGAACTCTAAATCTAAAATTAAAAACTTAAAAGTTACCAAACTAACTAGTAATTTCAAAATTAATGAGTAAAAGTCCAATTGTTAAAGTAATTTTTTTTAGTAAAAGTCCAATTTGACATTAAAGGAAATATTTCATAATTATGATGAGAGGTTCTAACAATTATTAATTATGTATAAACACAACTTAAAAAATTAACACACTTTCTAAGTTTCAAGCATTTTATAGCTAAATTTTACTCTAAAAGTCCAATTTCACAATCTCAAATAAAAATTTACAAATTACTCAATTAACTACTCCTACACTATAAATTCACAATCTAAAACTAAAATCCTAAAAGTTACCAAAATAACTACTAATTTCGATTTTAATGAGTAAAAGTCCAATTATTATATCTAACTAATTAGGTACGCGTAATATTATTATAATGATATTAAATTATAGAGTAATTAATTAGCCTAATTATGCATAATATTAGTATTATTTAATATATTAGCCTAAGTATATAATACACTAAGTAATACATATATTACTAATATCAGTGATATATACTCATTATGTTATAATATTTAAGATTAACTCATGATATGTAGTATTGGCATTTAATTTTCGATAAATTACAATGTAATCTTAAATCACCAAAATTAAACTCAATTCACTTAATTACTAGTTCAAACTAATTGCTATATTATTTATACTAAATTTCAAAAATGTAATTAATATACCCTATTCACTATATAATACTAATCCATCTAAATTTGATTATCTAATTTGATTATCTAAAGTAATCTAAAATAACTTTTGTGTATAACATTAATTTAACTATAAAATATCATCTATTTTAACTAATTTAAACTTTTAACTATTAAAATATGTAACTCACTTGACTAAAGTTTAACTCAATTCGCTATATAATACTAAACCAACTATGTATAACACTAAAGGTTAACTCAATTTGCTATATTTCATACCATCTAGAATGTAAATAATTTGTTGTAATCCATATGTGAATTCATTTAAAATAATCTAATACTACGTTTAACTTATTATTACCCTTGTAATTTTCGAAAATAATTTTTTTTTTATCTAAAATCACCAAAGTTTATAATTACTATACCCTTTTCCATATACTACGTATAATACAAATTCATCTAACTTATTTGTGTAATGGTAATTTTTGTAAGCTAAATTTTACTCTAAAAGTCCAATTTCACAATCTAAATTAAAAATTTACAAATTACTAAATTAACTACTTCTACACCCCTAAAACTGAAATTTAAGGCAAATCCTAAATGTAAAACACTTTCTAAGTTTCAAACATTTTATAGCCAAATTTTACTCTAAAAGTCCAATTTCACAATCTCAATTAAAAATTTACAAATTACTAAATTAACTACTTCTACACCCCTAAAACTGAAATTTAAGGCAAATCGTAAATGTAAAACACTTTCTAAGTTTCAAACATTTTATAGCTAAATTTTACTCTAAAAGTCCAATTTCACAATCTCAATTAAAAATTTACAAATTACTAAATTAAGTACTTCTACACCCCTAAAACTGAAATTTAAGGCAAATCCTAAGTTTCAAGTATTTATAGCTAAATTTTACTCTAAAAGTCCAATTTGACAATATAAATTAAAAATTCACAACTTCAAAAATTAACAACTTCTACAATTCTAAATCCAAAATTTAAGGCAAATCCTAGATGTAACATACTTTCTAAGTTTCAAGTATTTTATAGCTAAATTTTACTCTAAAAGTCCAATTTGACAATATAAATTAAAAATTCACAAATTAAAAAATTAACTACTTCTACACTTCTAAATCCGAAATTTTAAGGTAAATCCTAAATGTAACACACTTTCTAAGTTTCAAGTATTTTATAGCTAAATTTTACTCTAAAAGTCCAATTTGACAATATAAATTAAAAATTCACAAATTAAAAAATTAACTACTTCTACACTTCTAAATCCGAAATTTTAAGGCAAATCCTAAATGTAACACACTTTCTAAGTTTCAAGTATTTTATAGCTAAATTTTACTCTAAAAGTCCAATTTGACTATATAAATTAAAAATTCACAAATTAAAAATTTAATTACTTGTACACTTCTCAAACCGAAATTTAACTAACCTCAAAATTTGTCTGATCCCAAAGGGTAGATAACTTGATTTGGTTGTGAGTATCGTTGCTTCAGAATAAAAAAATTGAGATTGATTGAGGGCAACTAACTTGTGAGGACGGTTGTATGGGAATGAAAATCTGAGAGTGATGGATTAATGATGAACTAATGAGTAATCGAATGAGGGTTGCTGGAGTATTTATCAAGTCCCAGTCGGATTGCATAGTTCCGACTGGAGTGGGTGAAAAAATTAAAAATCTCTTGGTCGGATTTGGCAGTTCCGACTAGAGAGAGATCCGCGTGAATGAATGTGTTTGTTTATGGATGAATGTGTTTGTTTGCCGACACATAGTTCGGTAGGAGTATCGAAGTTATTAAATTTTATCTGATTAATTTTATCTGATAAAATTTTATCTGCTTGATTTTATCTGATTAATTTTATCTGATAAAATTTTATCATCTTGATTTTAACTGATTAATTTTATCTGATAAAATTTTATCTGCTTGATTTTATCTGATTGATTTTATCTGATAAAATTTTATCAGCTTGATTTATCTGATTAATTTTATCTGATAAAATTTTATCAGCTTGATTTTATCTAATTGATTTTATCTGATAAAATTTTATCTGCTTGATTTTATCTAATTGATTTTATCTGATTAATTTTATCTGAATTTATACGGCGTCGTACAAAATTAAATTTATCTGATGGAATTTATGTGAACCAAAATGTCAGATACAATGAAACAGATTCGAAAAAGAGAACAAATATTTCATTACTAATTGGATGCAAAACAAAAAATACAGAAACGTATACATTACAATATTACTCATTTCTTCTACCCGTAGCACGCAAATCCATTTCGTTAGTAAATCGAGTTCTCTGTGGCCTACCGACTCGAGCCGATCTGTTGTTTGTGGGTGGGAGAAGTGTATGTTGTGTTTCTGCTGGGATGTACGCATTATTAATAGGCATAATATCAGAAGCGTACGTCCGGATGTACGCATTTAACGAATACACAGCTGGAATTAGGCCGTCTACGGTTATTTTTAAAAACCGACAAACCGCATATGCGTGAACACATGGCAGCCCATTCTGCTTCCAATACTCGCACCCACATTCCTGCCTTGTCAGATCGATTGTCACTGGATCATGCGAACTAATAGCTACAGAGTAAATCCCCGTTGTTCGATTGTGCGGGACAATTGTTGTGTGATACCTACGCTGTGATCGCTCAAGAACAGCCTTCCATATGTTCTTTGGATACAAGAATCCAGCTTGGTGCCACATTATTCCCGCATTTCGTCGATCGGCAAATAGTTGGACCACTTTATCAAATGTGGCCTTTACTAGTGCGCAGATAGGCAATGTGCGACATCCCTTTAAGACATTGTTAAAGCTTTCTGAAAGGTTTGTCGTCAAAATGCCATATCTTTTGCCATCGTCATAGCTCAGGGCCCACATCTCAACAAGAATCTCATTCAAATACAAAAAGGCACTCTCATTTATGCCTCGTATTTGTTCCATACAGTCATGAAATTCTTGTTCTGTGGGAGTGCTACCAGCTTGCCAACATAATTTCTTCAGTTCCGCGTTTCTAAACTTGGTCATGAAATTACTCCGTATGTGACGGAGACAATAACGCTTTGAAACTTGTGGCGATCTCAACTCTGGCAAGGATCTAAATGCACTTTCAATTCCTGCATGACGATCGGAGATAACACACACACTACGATGACTTCCAACCACATCACGCATAACCCTTGCAAAGAACCACGACCAACTGTCAGCATTCTCACTCTCAACAACAGCATATGCAAGAGGAAATATCTCACGGTTAGCGTTCATGGCTACCGCTACTAGAAGAACCCCCTTGTATTTTCCATATAAGTGAGTCCCATCAACCGAGACTACGGGTAAGCAAAATCTGAAACCGTCTATAGAAGCTTTGAATGACCAGAACACTCGACGGAATTCAGACGTATCAGGACTGCCGGCCTGTTGTGATTGCAAATGAACAACCGTCCCCGGATTTGAAAACTGTATAGCTTCCAACAACATAGGAAGTTCATTATATGAGGCCTCCTAATTGCCGAATTTACGCTCCAGAGCGATCAAGCGTCCATTCCAAGCTTTTTTATATGAAACACGGATATCAAAATTTTCATATATGTCTGACATTATCAGTTTAATGCTGTAGTCCGGGTCGACTTTCACTTTTGGAGCGATTTCACTCGCTATGATCTTGGCCGTTAGGATCTTATCATCCCGAGCCGTGACAGGATCCTCCCTGCAACTGTGATGGGGTTGATATTTTTTTACTTTCCACTTTGTTGAAGTCATACCTTCTGCTGCTTGGATATGCCAAGTGCAAAGGGTCGGGTATATGCAAACCGCCTTCCAGGACTGTACCCTTTTGTCAACCGATTGGAATTGACGAAATTGACGAATGTTTTCTCTCGCCACCGCTTCTTTCAGTGCATCATATGAAGGGAAAATTGCGCCGACTTCGAGTCTTTCAGGCTCATAATCTAGCTCATATGGTTCTTCTAGCTCTAGATTGGCCCAGGTGGGGTCTATTGTCTCGTCATTGTTATCCTTCGTGGCTGAATCGACATCACTACAAAAACCTTGTTCGTAGTCTGGGTCGTCCGACTCTTCCCCTGAGTCTGGATGATTTCATATGACTTAATGGGTTAGATTTTGTTTAAACGCGTTATATTATAAAATGTGAGTTTATCTAATTGAATGAGTTAAAAATACTAAAATAAATACTTCTAAACAAAATAAAAGTTTTCTATAAAAATGTAATTTATATAAAATGTAATTTGTAAAATTTAATATATATAGTTTTTCAAAACAAAACAAAATATTTCTAAAAAACACCCCCCTAGTCGAAATTGGGCTATCCGACAGGGGTTTTTTATATTTTTTTTCCCTTAAAAAATTCCGACTAAAAATTTTATAAAAAAATTCTGGTCGGATTTGTGAATTCCGACAGCATTACATTTCATTTTTTATTTACATTAAAATCTAAATATGTCTTGGTCCCATGTAATGCGGTACGGTTTGCACAGCATAATACTCCATATTATTATTTACATTAAAGACATTAATGAATTTGTACATATGGTTTGGATAGATGCGGTAGATGCGAAATGCTAGATGCGGTAGATGCGAAAAAAACAAAGGAAATATAATCACATGAATTTTGATATAAAATTTATTTGATTATCTGTTAAAATTCCATAATATTTGTATCTGAATTACAAAGATATATTAAGAATAATATTATACACTAAATTAAAATTCCAATTTCACAAATCAATGTAAAACACTTTCTAACTTTCAAGTAATTTATAACCAAATTTAACTCTAAAATTCCAATTTAACAATCTAAATTAAAACATTTACAAATTGCTAAATGAACTACGTCTACACTCCTAAAACCAAACTTTAAGGCAAATTCTAAATTTAACACTCTTTCTAACTTTCAATTATTTTACAGCTAAATTTAACTCTAAAGTTCAAATTTAACAAATAAATTAAAAAATTTACAAATTACTAAATCTACTACTTCTACACTCCTAAAAAACTAATTAAGTCAAATTATAAGTTAAAGATATATATAGCCTTTTTAATTTAGTGATACTATCTCAGTCTAAATCAATATCGTAAATAATATTTAAAGATATATATAGCCTTATATAGCCTTTTTTAAGCTAAATTTTACTCTAAAAGTCCAATTTCACAATCTAAATTAAAAATTTACAAATTACTAAATTCACTACTTCTACACTCTTAAAATGACAACAAATAAAATGAAATCATTGTAAATTCTACTTAACTTGAACTATACATACCGGGTGTTTCGTAGTTCTGAAACGTTTGGCGGTTGTTTCTCCGACTTGATGATGGGCCTTCCACTCCGGGAGTTCCGTGGAACGTCAAATTTTGTGGCGGGGTCATTGAAGCTTCCACGTAAATGTGCAACTCCTCATACTCATTTGTAGCGATCTGGAAAAAATGACGCCATGTCCGCTCATCATGAATGGGCCATAATCTAGAAGCAACATATACCGAATTCTTATATTTCGGAAATTTTCCGTGAATTAATTTAATTTCGGAAAATCCGTCGCCTCTAACATGATTTAGAACATTCTCATGTATAGTAGTATAATCATCTTCTTCACTGATGAATAGTACAGCCCTAGGAGGTATGGAGTACTCTATTTCATCATCTTTTTGAGATGTAGAGCCATTCCAATGAACCATAACAACAATATTACCCTCACTAGACATTTTTATATATGGTATATATTATAAATATAATATGAGAGGAGAGTGCTAAACAAAAAAAATAATGAATATATCAAAGAAATTAAAGTAAGAAGTGTTTTTGGGTGAATAATGAATAAATTACTATAACAAAGAAATAAGTGTTTTTGGAATGTGTTTGTAAATTTTGAGAAGAAATGAAGGGATTTTATAGGGGTTTCAGTGTAGGAGTTCGGTGAAATACTCGAACCCCAATTAAACACCTCACCTGACTTTTAAAAAAACTACACAAATTTATTCAAAAAAAAAACTACACAATACTCTAGTCGGATTCCCCAATTCTGACTAGGGGTTTTAAAAAAAATCACAAAACTCTAGTCGGATTCCCCAATTCCGACTAGGGGTTTTAAATTATTGGGCACTGTTTAGTCGGATATGGTGATTCCGACGGGAGAAAAGCGTGAAAATGAAACCCTAATACGCTAGTCGGATTCTCCAATTCTGACTCCCACTTTTTGGTAACCTAAATCACTTTCCCGTGTTTTGGAATGTCAGACAAGAAACTCCCGTTTTTTGGTAATTTCTTCGAGGCTGGTGAGCCAGTATTTGTTACATGCATGTTATTGTAAAAAATTCATAAAAACTATCATATTAAAAAATAAACATGATGGAATATAAAAAACTTGCAAAAATTTCTGATTATCAAAAATAAAAAATACTTTTAAAAATTGTGCATTCAAAAATTGAAATAAAAGGGAAAAATACCTTATATCATTGGATGACTTGCTAGAGAAGGTCATATTCCAGTTAAATGACTAAATTGACTTTTTTTTAGAGTAAGCATGTTTGTGTAATCCTTTTTTAGAGCCTTCAAGGGTTTAGGTGACAATTTTGAAATAGCAGAAGGGTCTATTTGATTGTTTTTCAAAAATAAAATGGCGAAGTTTATTTGGGTGGAATTATCTATTTAAAGTCATGTTATGAAATTATATTTTTTTATTATTAGTTGTGGATACTAATTTAATTTAATGTAACATCTAATATCTTTTATTATTTGTGAGCAGGCAGATATTTATAATGTTTTGTCTGGGCTTAAGAAAATATTGAAATTATGAATTCCAAAAATTTCATAACTGGAGAATGTACATCCAGTTTAGATGTTTAGCAAAAACTATTGCGATCCATTCTCCAGTTAAATAATTTTGGAAAATTAAATCCAAATGTACATCCAGTTTAGATCCATTAAGTTTGGAAAATTAAATAATTTGGACTGTGATTAGCAAAAAAAACGGGCTGTGTTTCCAATAATTTTGATGTGCTGGGGTTGAAACCATGAATATTGCGATCCATTCTGAATATGGGAATTGGATTGGATTGGATTAGGAGCCCGTTTGGTAGCACCAAAATCGGCTGTTTTGGCTGATTCTGCTGAAATTTATGATATTCTGGCTGGAGTGGCTGTTTTGGCTGATTCTGCTGATTTAAGAAAAAAATATTTTAAAAATATATTTTATTAATAAATTAAAAAAAAAATTATTTGTAAAAATAGCTAAAATGGTCCTCTACAGTAACTTCAGCCAATACAGCCAGAAAAGTAACTCCAACCTTACTTTTTCGGCTTATTACACAATTCAGCGCGCGAAAGTAAAAGTTACGTGTTTGGTGAAAAAGCTGGCTGATAAGCCTGATAAGCCAAAAACAGAGTTCTCCAAACAGGCTCTAGATTGGATTGTCTAATGGGGTTCTCTGGATTCACCGTTCATGGATCAGATTGTGGGTTTACCATTTGCCTGCTTATTTGCCAAGTCCTGTATGTGCTCAGACCTACTTTTACTCCACAACTAATCAACTATAGGTGATATCCTTTTGACAGAGGGAAAAAATTGAACATTTGCTTCTTGAATCAAGCTATAATATGTGGCAACATAAAAAAAGCTTATCCAGGAAGAGATGGAAACCCTGAAAAATTTGCAGTGAAAGGGTTGCCACTTGCTTTGCCTCGGGGAATGCTTTGGTATGCTTGGGCCCAACGGTGCTGGGAAAACTTCTCTTATAAATATGGTCAGTCTAATGTTATTGCAGTTAAAATAATCTAGTAATTAAGAGAAGTTGATCCTTAGTTTATTGTTCACTTGTTTTTCTTCATGTTACTTTTAGGCTTTGTTTGCAAGTGCTTGTGTTTAAATAAAAGCACTTTTTGGAAAAAAGTGATTAGTAGTAAAAGTTGATAGTGTTTGGTAAAATAAGTGCTTTTTGTGTAATAAAAAAAGTAAAAAGTAGATTCTACACGAAAGTCGAGAAAGTTAAAGTTGATAGTGTTTGGTAAAATAAGTGCTTTTTCTTTTAAAAAAGCCACAAGTACTTAAATTAAGGGCTTGCAATTGTCTGTTGTCTTCCAGCGATCAGTTTTCTTGGGTGCTTCTGACTAGTTTTTTTTATTTTGTAATGCCAATTCTAAGCTAGCTAAGTTTCTGTGACATGTGTATGCTAGCAGATGATTGGTCTCATAAAGCCGAGCGCTGGTACTGCATATGTCCAGGGCATGAATATACAAACTGATATGGACAAAATATATACTACCTCCGTCCCTTAAAACTTTGCCAAGTTTGACCGGCACGGAGATTAATAAAGTAAAAACTGTGTGGTAGAGGTTTGTGCAGAGGAGAGAGAATTAACAGGAACCACAAATTTTTTACTTAAAAGAGAAAGTGGCAAAGTTAGTGGGACATCCAAAAAAGGAAAGTTGGCAAAGTTATAAGGGACGGAGGGAGTACCAGCATGGGAGTGTGTCCTCAGCACGAGTAAAGCATCATCGTTTTCTCAATTAAAGTAGTCAATTTGCCTTGTTTGGATTGATTTGGTGGTCAGACCTGAACTAATGATAATTCGAATACTGGGAATGAGATAAATCACAATTGAAATGGCTTGAGTTATCCAATTCCAAGAAAATACTCAGAACCCATGGTGCTCTCGAGGCATGTGATGCCCCTGATTTCATGAATTTAAAAATTCCAGCTCACGAAGTAAGCAGAGGCGGACCCACTAAGGGTCCCATGGGGTCTCGGGACGCTGTGAACCTCCAAAAAAATACTTATATGTAATATATATTTTATATAAAATTTTCCAGTAAATTTACATATACATAAAAAACCACAATAATTTCTCAAAGTTGTCTGGAGGAATGGTTGTTGTGGGGTTTGATGGAGCGTTCTCCTGCCCAGTGGTTCAGGGATCAATTCCCTTCTGACTCTTAGTTTTCTAGCCTTTTTTTTTAATTTCTTGTTGTAAAAGGACAAGTTTATCAAAAACCGAACATGAACTCTTGGATTGGAGATATTTTGAGAGCTCTTTGGACCCAAACCTGCTTGGCTTTCTTCTTCGCACCCTTAATTTTCTAATTTTTTTTGAAAGGTAATTTTTTGATTTTTTATTATTGCAAAAATCAAAATTATGCTTTTTCGGCATTTAAAAAAAAAACTCTCTAACCCTGAATCCATACAAACCTCCATGATAATCAATCTTCCCGATTCAGAACTTGACAGTAAACACACGAGTCATAACGGCCCTTGACCCTTCCTCCACGAGACCACGACTACAGCGCTGCGATAGCCTTTTTTTTTTTAATTTCTTGTTGTAAAAGGACAAGTTTATCAAAAACCGAACATGAACTCTTGGATTGGAAATATTTTGAGAGCTCTTTGGACCCAAACCTGCTTGGCTTTCTTCTTCGCACCCTTAATTTTCTGAATTTTTTTTTGAAAGGTAATTTTTTGATTTTTTATTATTGCAAAAATCAAAATTATGCTTTTTCGGCATTTAAAAGAAAACTCTCTAACCCTGAATCCACGCAAACCTCCACGATAATCAATCTTCCCGATTCAGAACTTGACAGTAAACACACGAGTCATAACGGCCCTTGACCCTTCCTCCACGAGACCACGACTACAGCGCTGCGATGTCGCCAGACGACCATTAAAGAGTTGGACGCCCAGTTCGGCCGGCCAGACTGAATGTTCAGATTGAATTATTAAATTTATGATATTTTGATCGAATGTTATATCAATATATTACGATTTGGGATGAAAAGATATTTTGATAGTGTGCCCACATTTAAAGAAATTCGGAGCACCAGGAGTAGTTCGAACGTTAATTCAAATGGTTCGCCATTATTATATGAAGAATTGGATCATATAATTGTTGAATGTGAAATTAAAATGACTGACAATCATTGTTCTAAAACTTGTTAGGGGCTAGTCGGATGGTTGAGTGCCTAGGCGGATGACTAGGACGAAGTTTTGACCGACTTAGCCAATTAGTCATCTACAGTTAGGACTGATTAGGCCGATTAATTGGTCTGACTAGATCGATTATTAGAACAGTGCTGATAATCTACATGACCAAAATGTTGATTTTGAATATTTGGGAGTTGATCTTTTATACAACAACAACAACATCCAAGCCTTATTCCCAAACGATATTGGGGTCGGCTAACATGAAATCAAATTTACATCCTAGCTAATGTTCAAGATGATATTGGGGAGTTGATCTTGTATAGAGAAAAAAAATCAAATTTGCATCCTAATGTTCAAGACGAGGTGCGCCATAATTACCTTCAAAAGTCCCGTTTCAACCTTGGGACTATGAAACATTATGCTACTTTAATATTTTGATGATGTACGTTAACTATGAAATGTTATACTACTACAATATTTTACTTCATTTTTATTAATTTTTTATTAATTAGAGTTACTAGAGTAGGGACCCCCGTGACTCTGATTTTCTGGGTCCGCCACGGGAAGTAAGTGATTCCAAGAAAATGGAAACCAATCCAAACAAGGACTGAAATTTGCCACGAACCCCTGTTGCAACAGGGATGATTATGAATGAAACATATGTATACACATGTTGATCAGAGCCATTGTCATTTTTGCCATCTGTTTTCAGTCTGCTTTGGGAAATGTTAATAGGAAGGGAGAACTTAGAGCCCGTTTGGAGAACTCTGTTTTCGGCTTATCAGCCAGCTTTTTCACCAAACACGTAACTTTTACTTTCGCGCGCTGAATTGTGTAATAAGCCGAAAAAGTAAGGTTGGAGTTACTTTTCTGGCTGTATTGGCTGAAGTTACTGTAGAGGACCATTTTAGCTATTTTTACAAATAATTTTTTTTTTAATTTATTAATAAAATATATTTTTAAAATATTTTTTTCTTAAATCAGCAGAATCAGCCAAAACAGCCACTCCAGCCAGAATATCATAAATTTCAGCAGAATCAGCCAAAACAGCCGATTTTGGTGCTACCAAACGGGCTCTTAATGTTCTATGGATGGCTGAAAAATCTAAGAAGTCGTCTTCTTAGTGCTTTTTAGTTAATGCTCCTTTGATATTGTGGTGGTTTGGCCATGTGCGTAGAAGACCGAGTGATGGACTTATTAGACGAGTTGAGAGGTGGGGAGAAGAGGCGAGGAGGAGAGGGAGAGGAATACGCAAACAGACGTGGATTATAGGAGTCAAGAGTGATGCTATTTCTTGGGTTGGATGAGAGTATGACTTTAGGAGGCAGAGTATTCATGTGGAGGATTGATCTCATTTCAATTTTTTTTAATATTTTTTTTGTCTTTCTTATGTTCTTTATCTTTTATATTTTTTATCCTTTTTCCTATCCTCTCATCTTTATCTCATCTTTTTTAATCTTTTTATCCTTTTTTATCTTATCTAAAAATTTTCATCCTTTGTATCTTTTTAGCTCCGATTTCATATGTAGGTTCATGCTAGCGGACCCCAAACTCTTATGGGACTAAGGGTTGAATGTTGTTGTTTCTCTTTTTAGATAATAGAGATAAGTCGTAAAATTTTAAATTACGTTGCAGCATTATTAAATTTGCAAAAGTTACAGTGCACATCCCATGTCCGAGTGTCCGAACCATAAAACAAACCATTTCATCCATAGAGTTTCACTTTTACTTTTTTTTAGTGAATGCAATTCCATTTCATTCTCTATCCCAGACAGCAACGTGTGTACATATTATGGTGTATACTCTTATCAATTTTCTATCGACAAGCAGCTTCTCAACGATTTACTTGTGTACAACACACAACTAGGATGTGTACACCGCACAAAAAGTGTACCAATAACATTTTGCATTTCCAAATATGAAATTGTATTTCGATTTTTAATAGGACAAATTAGTCTAGCCTTGAGATATATGAAATATAAGTTTGTACACCCTCATAAATTGTTTTTACATAGAAGGGAGGAAGTATTTGTCGAATATCCGAAATATAAGTTTGTATTTTATTGTCAAAATTACTATTGAATTGAGTTAAGCATAAGCCGAAAGAATTAGAAATAGTCAGCATTTTAGAGTTATAATTGTAAGGATGGGATTCCGTCTCCGGCTCAGGTCTTTCTACACAAAGACTCACATACACCACACTAGGCTAGACCTCTTCACCACTAAGCTCCATCTCTACCACTAAGAAAAACCTCTCTCACACTCTCACACAAAGGAAAGGAAGAAGAAGTAGAGCACTGCTCTCTAGGGAGTATTTCTCGCAGGCTACCATCAACTGGAGAAGGAAGATGACTACTAATAGGCTGCCAAGCAAGCTGGAAGTCACGGGTGAGGGAAACAAGGGACACTCACGGACTACACAAACAAAGGTGTGCAGCGGACAGAATAGGGGCCAACCAATAGATAAGTCAACAGCCAATAAGTGAGGTAAAATAAGGTATAGCTTAGTGGGAGTAAACTTAGGGTGTAAATCAATAATAAAGTGGAAGGGAGGCCTTGGTAGGACCAATACCTCCAACATTCTCCACCTTATTGGTCCTAGGTGGTGTAGAGTAACAATACAAGGTTGTGACAAGACTCATCATCGCCGGGTCACCCGGAATATCAACAGACACAACGGGCAAACACTTTATTAGGCAACCCACAGTTATCCACAGTCAAAGTTTAGCACGCGTTTACAGGACAAGTGCTTCTCAGCAGAAAGACACTTGGTACCCATATCCGCGGGGTTAAACTCGGACGGGATCTTGCACAGCTTGACTCCACCTG